CGTTATATGCCAAGATAATTTATGAATAACGAATCGATATTGAATATCTGCGATCAACGTTAATATATTATCAAAGCGTGTTATCACGAATAATATCAGTCGTTTTCGCGTTCATTAAAACATCGGGAAAATATATAATTAATATGATCATTATTCACCTGTATTAAAGTTTGTAAAAATGCTCAACCAAGGAAAAATCATACATCGGTACTTTCTGAATTCTCGTGCCGGTTATTATTTCGCGCTCTCTTAGGAGGAGGAAGATTCGATCAAGAGAGAAAGAGGGAGGAAAAAAAGGAGAGATTACGTCTGTAAATATAAAACACCGGACAGCGTGGGAGACGTGAACGTCGTCTCGGGAATGAGCGAGGTCGCGAGGAGCTATTCCGCGATCGAGAAGAGTCGCGACGTTCGGCGGAGCCCGCGCGTAAAGAGCATTATAAAAATTTAGAAACGGCGAGCTTACCGGGGTCCCAATCCTCCCTGACATGCAGCGTGCACAGTACGCAGTGCGCTATGTCGAAATACGGGAACATTTTCAGCTTGATGACCTGATTGGCCATGTCCAGGAACGCCTCGGGATACATCGCGAACGCGGTGGTGTTTCGCTCTCGCTCGACGACAACCGATCCCCCAACTAGCGCGAGTCTCTCGACTTCCAGGCTTCCGATTCAAACGTCCGCTGCCGAGCGCCCGCGAGCGACGCTAGCTATGCGCTGTCTGCTGCGATCAGCCGCCCGTCCCGTCGTCTGCTAGACTAACCCAACCTCGAGCAGTCGGAAATAAAAAAGAACGGACGGGGTCCTTCTTTACCGACCGCGCGGAAATTGACATCTAGCTTCCAGCTCACTCGCCTAGATGGCAGCAATGTCTGCGCGGGCGACTTCAACTGGAGAAATTTTCAGAGACAACAATCGAGGAGTTTTTTTTGATATCTGATAATCGGTTCTTGCATTTTTTGAATCTATTGTCCCCGGATACGAGTAATGCATTTTTTTGGAATTAAATTTACTATGCATAATCTGTTTTCATTACATTTGGTTTCAATGTTTTGCTTTGCATAGGTTGCGCTTTGTATTTGGCGGCACGTGTGCTTCGTTCAATTGACCATCAGAGCGAGGCAATTTTGGCGCTCACGATGCTACGTGCGCTCTTGCACCGGCGTCTTCTTCCTCTTTTCCGCGGAAACGCCGTAGTGTGAAGGAGCGAGTCTTTGCGCTCTGATAATATTCGCAGAGGTAAGAGCCGACAATGAGATAATCGAGCGAAATAGACCGATTATTCGCAATAACATTATTCTGTGAATAAATTAGAATATTTATTAGAGTTATATATATGGTTATATATATATATGTATTTATTGGAGTTATATACAGGTTATATATATATCTATCGATATTTCGAGAGACGAAAATCAAGCGATTTTTTTTTTATCAGAAAAAAAGGACTCTGTTCCATATATAAATTATAAAATATATCTTTTAAGTATATTTATATTTTATCAAATATATTTAAGTATATATTAAGTAAATGCTACTTGAGAATTTTATTTTGATGAAATAATTAATGCATTGGATATAAGTAATTTTGCCTGAAAACAATAAATTTCTTCCAAATTTAATTTTCATTTTTATATCATTTTGCAGATACTATGTGTGTGTGTGTATCTCGTATTTCAACCACGATATTTGTGTGTCCACAACATACCCTCTGGTATGTATGTAAGTTCTTTTTTATAACGATATATTTTTTCTAAAGCAATTAATATATTAGGACCATAACAGATGTGAATTTTACATATCTGTTATGGCCCAATATACCATTGACTCAATTAATTTATCCTCAAAAAAGGATTTTGATTCAAAAAAAATCATATATCTCTTTCTGATTTTATAAGATCAACACACACATTTTATGATACAAATGAAAATTTTCTATGTGATAAAATCACATATAATCGCGTGCTCTTATTGTTCTGTTTATTTCTGATGGAAATATATATTTGTATATATATATCATTATTTAATTATTAATGAATTATCGACAACAACAAGTAAACATAATGATATAAAAATAGATTTTTAATTTTTGATTTCTGATAAATAATTTCTGATTTTTCTACAATGCTGTATTATCTTTTGTTTTTTTAATATATGTTTTTTGCAAGTTTTAATTAATTTATATTTTTTTAAAATTCTTAACACATTCTTTTTATTAATAATGATATATAATTATTAACTTATTTACCGTGTGAAAATAATAACAATGATTATTAACTGTTAATATAAATAGAAACAATATGTAAAATATAAATATATAATATTTAATATATTATTTTTTATTACATGCTTTTTATTAATTACATTTTTAATAAATAAAATATGTATAATTCTTGCTTTAAATTTTTTTTCTAACTTTTTAATGAGTTTGATAAATATTTCTCTTAAAATTGTACGGATTCTACTTTGATTTTGTTAAATAAATAAATCTTTATAATTTTTAATAGATGTAATGTTAGTATTGCTTATGTTAATATTTTTTTTCCTTTTATATATTCTCTTGCAAAATTTTGAAATTTTTGTTTATAATTTAAATGTGAAATAATTGATAATTTTCTTTAACAACGACAGCAGAACATACATAAAATTAATTAATCTTATCATTCGTATGTATTAGTATTAAAATAAATAGTAATATAAAACTTAATGTAATGTATTTATGTACAGATATGCCAATTACTGTGCGGATATACTATATGACTTGAAGATCTTCACACGAACATTAGCTTTATCGTCATTCTCATGACTACAATTTATTGTACAGGTCAGTGGTTTAAATCGATATATATATATATATATATATATATATATATATGTATATATATTGATTTTTTTATCAATGTGTATATCCCATGCTATATTCGAATCAAATCTATTACATATAAGTTTTCAATGTGATTACCAAGTACCAAACATTCATAATGCAGTGCTCTAAAAATTATTTTACTTATCATATAGGATTTTTTTTTATTTATTGTTAGTTTGGACCAGTTTGAATGTGTTCATCTCTTGTAGATGAGATTTTTCTCTTCATGATCTTTTCGACTTCCTGCAATGGTATACGCTATTTTGTCGTTATCACTTTGAATAATTTGTTATACTCATAAGTATATGAAAATGTAACACTTATAAAAATTCTCTTTTTTTATGTATACTGCTAGAACAACACAAGAAATCTTTTTTTTTTAATATGACATATGTTTGATAAATGATATACTTATATAATGATAAGTTGTGTGTTCGTGCTTCAAAGGTTTTTTTATTTTTAAAGGAAAGATCATTCTATTAATATTTTCTTATATTTTTAATCATATTTTGTTTATTTTTTAAAGAGTTTTAATCATAAACGACAATAATTATAACTTTTTAATTTTATAGTTGTTTAATAAATAATTAATTTATACCTACATTGAAATTGTATAATTTTGTATATTAAAATTTTCGACAACGCATTATTAGTAATATGGTATTTGATCTTGGTGTCAACAATAGCACGCTATTAATTTTTTCGCTCTTATTAATAAATTAATGATTATTAAACTATCGATAATATAATCGACAAAAATGATTTTATTAATTATTGAATTTATTAATTATTTATTATTGAAAGTAAAAATTGTAGCAACAGGTATAAAAATTAAAAATTATCGTTTTTCTTACGAATTTTTGATTATCGAGATTTTTATGGCTAATAATTATTTCTCTAATAATGCATGCTTTCAGAATCATATATTTCATCTAATAATTTAAGTTTTCTTAACATGATAGCATAATTAATTATTAAATCAATTAAATTACTATCAAGATTTTTAATTATTTTAATCTTTTGCTCTGACGATTCCACACATGTGTTTTTATTTATTAAATCATATAATAATCTCCAATAATAAATTTTTGAAATAGTAATTAATTTGAACGCTGACTATAATTTAGATTTTATATTTGTATGTTACAGACGACGCGTAAAATTCGGGAGTGCCGTTAAAAGTATTGTACGTACAAGTGCGGGAGTGCCGTTAAAATTAAGTATCGCGCGTGTTAATCAACTTTGACGACTCTGATAACTTATTAGAGGAGGAGGAGGTCTGGGAAAGACGTCGGGCACCAGCGCAACAACCATGGGGTAAGTATTTATGATTGGTTTATTTTAATTATTAAATAAAAGTTTATAAAATTATTTAATATATATATATATATATATATATATATATGTATGTATGTATGTATAATCTATTTATTATTGTATGCATTGAATATAAAATTTATTATAATGCATAGACAATAATAATTTTTTTAAATATTAATTCTTTTGAGCGCTGTTACAATTTGAATTTTATTTATATGTTATAGATGACCGTAGCTTCAGGTCAATGCAGTTAACTTCGCTGTTACGCATCGACCGGTGAGTAAAAATTTTTTTTAATTACAAAATAACAATTTTGTAATGTAAAGAGATTTGAGTGTATAATAAGATGTGTAGATCTAACTTATGTCACCATATTTTTTCTATATATTTATTATCTTTCGAATGATTATTTTATTAATGATTTCGCATATTTTTGATCATTTTTTTTCATTTTTAATCAGTTTTAATAATTAGTTGTATAATTAATTTTTTCAAAATTGTAAAGTCTCTATATTTAGATATCATAACGTTAAATTACCATATGACACATCGTTTTTCAATATTTTTTAAAATCAAGCGAAAGACTATTTCATTAATGTTAATGCAACAAAATTTTAAGTTGCTAAAATATACAAATATAGAATTGATTACTATTTATCAATTTCGAAGTGTGAGAAAACATTTAAAGATCATAACTAAAAATCACGTTTAATTGATAGCAATTATAATATATGGTTGGATCATTACTTTGAGTCATATTTGTTCATTGATTACTATTTGTTTTGCGATTAATATAGTTAAAAATTGTTTGTTTTATATATCCTCGTTCGCTGTTTGTTGATTTACTGTATATATGTATACTTTTAATATTATTATATATGTATAATATAATAGCTATTTCAAGAAGGTAAGTGAAAATTAATTGGGTATTAAAAATAGCCTTGTAGAGATGAATATTCTATTTTATAAATATATTTTGCGAAAAGTTTAGTTGTTTTGAAAATCAATTTTACATCGTGATTGATCTGTTATTTCGAACTCAGACCTAATTTCTATTTCTGAGTGGAAAGTCTTTTTAGAGAACATTACATTTCAGTTGAAAATGTGTTAATATTAGCTAACTATGATGTTAACAATAAGAAAACATAAACTAATAAATATTTATTATATGTATGCATAGATGTTATGTTTATTGATTGCTTATTACATATTACATTAAATTAGTCGTTATTTATAATATATAAATATAGTTTAGTAAAACAGAGCAAGTACAATGTTTATATAAATAAAATACATATATATAAATATATGTTTTAAACAAACATTAATGAAGTTAATAACTTTGAAAACAATATAAAATAGAACCAAATCGTTAAGAATTATATAAATTATGTATTTTACAATACAAAATTACATATATTTTAAATTTCGAATAGAAATATTAAGCTATTTTATTTCTGGTGTGTATATTTATTGTACACATAAACAGAAAAACGCTATTTTCTTCTTAAAATGTATTTTTTTTCAAGAAATACTCAAAGAATATAAATATATTCTTACGTATTCTTTGTTTATAGCATAAGGCATACGATATCAAATCGATATCAGAGAGAGACTATGAAAAAGCATCTGAGAAAGATAATAATTAAATATTTATTAGTGCAAAGAACAGTCTATATAAATCGAGAAATAACATATGGTTTTGCATGGACTCTTTTGTTATTTATTAGTAAAATAAATGTATAAATATATATGTATATATAATATATACTATATTTATATATATTTACATGTGTGTGCTAAATGAATATAAATGGGTCTTATAATGTGTTTAGAAAATGTGGTTACAAATTATTCATGACAGCCATTTATTGATTATTGTTTATACTAATTACAATCAGAATTTGCAATATTTTTTATTATAGTTTTAATAGAGAGAGATTTATAGGGGGGTTACGTAAACTATCTCACTCAATTCTTCTGACGGATTCAAAGATTTACAATACATCAAATGGAAGGAAAATTGCGACTTCCAACCAATTTTACATACAATTTATTCATATTAATCTTTCGCATTTTTACATCTATAACATAATTAAAGATAGGACATGAATAAAACATTGTGGACTATAGAAACATTAGAGCCTGAAGCAATTTATTGTTTTATAACAATATATGCAACAAACATAGATACATAGCAACATAAATCTCACATATTGCATGATTGAAATTAGTCAGTTACAATCTTTACCAGAAAGAGGAATTTGTTAATATTCTTATTATAATAGTATTATAATTGTGTATTATTTCATTAAGGTTTAAATATATATATGTAGAAATAAAAAAAAATTAAACATAGATCAAATTATTTTAAATAAGAATCATGCTAAAGATAAAACTGAGCAGAGTGTCTTAGTAAATCAGAAAATTAAATTTAATCTTGAATCAGTTGGCCATACAAACCAGTTGGCCTTCAATATCGTTGATAATTCTCGCTCAAAAATAAAAATAAAATGACACAGACAATGATCGAGAACATAATTGTGTATCTACAATAACATTATTGATTAACATTCAGAGAAAAATATAATTCCTATCTATATGTCACGATGCATTAGATATTATACATTATTCAATCTTAGCTTACACATCACCTGCTTCCCATATTTTTTTATTTTTCGAAATAGAGGACGTGAAATCATATTGTCGTATAATTTCGCCGATATATATGTATTTCATAAATTAAAAATAAATCTCTTGCTTTACACGTTGGACCTATACAGGGTGTTTTATAAAAGATTAATAGTAGAGATGCATTTTTTCATAAACTCTGAATCGATTTTTCTTTATGATAAAGTTGTATACGTAATAATAAAATTTTATTTATGCAATTCTAATTACAAAATTTATAAACATTTGAAATTTAATATTTTTGGTAAATTTCAATTCTACGTAAAATCTTGCCCTGTTGTTGAAAGGCAATGTTATTTTAGCTAAAAACTATTATTTTAAAATTTGTCACTATATATTAACATAATTTAATTTGAGAATTTAGAAATTATAATTAATTACGATCTTGATTCAAATTTTTCACGTTAAAAACTAATCTTTACTGAATTTACTCAAGAATATATCGATCACTACTACTGATAACTTGTTTTTACATTACACCCTGTATGAATTAACAATAATACTGATGTAGGCATCCTTTGAAAGACATTGCTTGCATGTACAATTGTAGTTGACAAAATATATTTTTATCTTATTTAATTTTGCTAATTACATGATTAATATAACGTTTTTTTCACAATGCATGCAGGTTGCAAGATATAAATCGTAGACGCGCAATTATAAATAAAATTTTTTTATAATTATGTTAAATATTAATCTAAAAAGACATTCATTTTTATTATTAGCAGATATTTGTTTATGTGCATATCCTTTGTTGTTTGGATAAAATACATAAATTTAGTAATGATTCAATAATAATACGCTTAATAATAACACAATGCTTGGTTTAAATCAAGTTCTAATTGGACATCATATAATTAAATAAAGTCATATAATTCCATACAGACTCATGTCTGTTAAAATAAAATTTATGCCAATTTCAATCGATATTTTTTACGTGTTTTAGATTAGATTGTAATTGATTAATGTAATAAAGAAATATATATATTTAATATAATCAAGTCATAGACACACATAATTATACAAGATATCTGCTAATCTTAAACAACATTTATTCGGTACTTGTCTGAAAATAGTCTTGATGATAATTATAGACAAAGTATTTAATAATAGTTTATGTAAATATATTTTTAGTAATATTTAAACACTTCAACAGTTAATATTTAAATTTTTTAAAATATTTAATAGTTTATATACATGTATCTAATTTTCTCATGGTTCTCACGCAGAAGAAAAAGTTATTTGTGAAATCGCAGCAAACATGCAGAATGCTTTTTGACACTACGTTCATGAAACGCTGCTTTGAAACTATAACGAACCGCTGTTGTAGAACTGTTCTATATATATATATATATATTTGTCTTTGTTCATTGTGTGTACACATTCTGAGTTTATATACCCTTTACTTTTGATTGTAGACTCTACGACTTGTGCCTTGCGATCTGCATCCATTGCATGCGCAAATTTGAATTTTGTACTTACTAGCGGCAAAATATAAATAATACAGCGTAAACATAATAAACAATCTCATTGCCATTAACTAGATCAAGCTATCGATATTTAAGATATTTCTACGATACGTAAAAATATCCTATATTGATATCTACGATATGTAGAATAATAATAATGAAGCTTTTAATTAACTAATTAAAATCAAATAAATTTATAAATCAATAGACGACAGCATTTGCATCCATCATAATTGATAGATGTGTCTTCTTCTTCACTTTTAGATTTAGCTATTTAGGTTTAGCTCGGTTTAATTATGTATTTGGAGAAGATGTTTCGTAACAGTTATCGTTTCTAAGGGCTGCTGCATTATTGTGAAGCTGAAACATAAAGCAAAAATAGGGTTCATAATCTCTTCTGAGAGGAAAAGGTCGCATTCTAATTTCAATTTTTCGGTATAATTGTATTATTGCGCGAGAACCTTTGAAAAGAAACTATCTTAAAAACAGTTTTAATTACCATTACAATAGAATTATTCATTTAATTTATTCATAAAAAATAATTTGAATTGTTGGTATAATTGATATTTATCGCTTATAAAATGTAATACATTAATTCATATATTTATACGTCGTACATTTAATATATCAAAAAGCGTTTTTTTTTTATTATGACAATAACATGATATTGATAAAGAAATTATGTAATAATTATAGATAAATCGTTTTGTGATAATCTAAATTTGAATAATTTTTGAAAAATTTAAAATTTGTTTTTAATTTTTTATTATTTTTTTTACAAATTAAAATGTGTGATATAATAGAAAGTGATTAAAAATATTTACAGTTTAAAATTAATGAAGCTTTTAAGATTAATAAGTCGTATATATAGATAATTAGATTTTATGATCAATTAAATTGTTATCCCGAAGTTAGCAGCATATAGTTTTATCGTTATTTTGTGCAATCGTGTATATACAATAGCCAGTAACTTTTCGATGACAATATGCCGCAGAGAAACTTTTAAAGCAGACCCTTGTGTCTTGTGTCGCTATTGTTTCGCAGTCGCCAGGAAGATAATCCGCAGCTTTGTTTTAAATGTCACTTGGTACTCAGTATGCAAGGAAAAATATTTTCACAGCATCAAT